TAGACACCAAACTATGCAAAACGAATTCTTCTCTACCTTTAAGAGGAGTGAGAATCACAAATAAGGTACCTATGACTTCGAGAGCCCCACCTGAACACCTTCAGGTTATTATTATTGGATTTGATCATCCATCCACCTACCGTGTGTGCCTAGTTTTCCTGACCTGATCACAGAAAAAAGACTAGACAAAGAGACTAGTCGGGCTCTAAACCTGGTTCTGCCATTAGTGTGAGGGACCACAGGGTTTCTGTGTTCTCATCTGCAAAATCAAGGCACTCAGCTGCCTAAGTCTCCTTCACCCTAGCCCTCCCGCAGTCCACAGTGCCTCATCCTGAGTCCAGCCCTTTGCTGCTGAGCAACGGTGCAAGAACTCCCACGGGCCACACTTCCGTTTCCCAGGATACATGCTTCTCATTTCTGAGAACCCAGCTTGTGACAGTCTCCTTCTCGTGCTTGCCTGCTGACTCCGACTCCTCCTTAAAGGTCTAGCTCGAAGGCTAGGGTTTCTTAACCTTGAAATTGACCATTCTCTCCCATGAACATTCAAATCATGTGTTCACATTATTTCAAGACAGCTCTCTGTCGCCTCACTGCCTATGGACACATGTCATCTCTTCCACTGAACGGTGAACGCCTCAAGGGAAGGAAAGCCTCACGTGTCTGACCGCTCACAGCCAGTCCCACTCTGCACACCCCACCCCATTCTACCCGTCTGCCTCGTCTAAGAAGGTGTCTGTACCCTCTTTCTCCTCTGTTCCTGAATGGTTTGACAGCCGCCTCCTGAGCTAGGTAGGTCCCCGGCTCAAACCTCCCCACTTCCAGGATCCAAGGAGGAACCACCAACTGGGGAAAAGCCACCACCCGGGCAGCTCTGAAGGCCTGCTGGTAATCACAAGCACCGCCAGGACAATCCGGGGGCCGTGGGCAGGGTGGCCGGACAACTAATCACCTAAACAGGGACACACCGAAGCACTGGCCCCGCTGGGACAGCAGGTGTATCAGCAGGGTCTGTCCCAGGAAAACCGGGCTGGGGGGCCGCCCTGAGCAGGGCACTCTTTCCTGGTCTCTATACTGGCTTCCACGATGTCCATGTTCCCATGGCCAACCCCTCCCCTGCAGCCTCCTTTCCCACAAGGACACTGGCAAGTGTCTGATGCACTAGTTTAGTAATAAGAGTTCAGACACAGAAAAGCAATTCCAATCTCGGGAGCACAGATACACATCTATACACTCTTAGGACCGCACAGTCCTGTCCTCACTGGAGAGCGAGCTTCAGCGATGTGAATGAGCAGTGACACTGGACTTCTGGGGCGGGGGCAGGATTTCTCAAACCACACTAACTTCTCATTTGCAGTCTTCAAACTATAAATGGGAAGTCAACAAGATGAAACAGGATCTTATTTCTAAGGTTCATTTTGGGTTAAGTGCAATGTAACAGTACAAAAATCAAGGCTACCCAAGACCTTAGTACATTTCCCGTCAATACTTGGTCAATTCCATTAGCTAGCCTTAATAAGTTAATTGTCACAGGGTGAGAAACCATTAGGTCACTAAAAACATGGCCTGTAAAACATTACAAGAGTTATAATATCACCGTAGCAATATTAAGATGTTTAAAATTCAAATTATAAAGATTTGAATTTAATTTTCAATATTTTATGGCTCAGTTTCTCAGGTGGAATTGACAACAGAACAAATCAATAAAGCCTGGGGTACCATGCGGCAGGCACCACTATTTCAATTAAACATTATGGAAGATTAATTTCGCAATTTCAAAAATTTAAACTGGCAAATACATTGTCTTATCATGTCTCCAGGAACACAATTATAAAGTTATATGCAAACAAGAGTTACGTAGTGAGTGCTATCATTCACTGGTCCAGGGAACAAGGAATGCCAAGCCCTTCCTGGGCCAAGTGATGTTGTGGGGGCTATTAGGGGGCAGTGTCAGTGTTGCCCCAGCCACGACCACACTCCTGCCCCAGACCGGCACTCAGCCCCCCACCAGGTATCACCTGCGGGGGGCACCGCACCCCCACCCTCAGGAGGCTCCTCTTAAAAAGGTCACCGTGAGGACACGTCCCTGCGTGCGCAGTGACACACCTATGGGGGGGTCACCTTAGACACTGCTCACCCCAAAGGTCAGCAAAGTGTCTGAGGATTTTATTTGTAGCTTACATTTCAAAAGCATTTACAACCATCAGCTACTTCTTTTGGCTTCTTCTCATAAAACATAGAGCGTTAGGAACTAAGTAGCCCGAATAACAGCATGGAAGAGCTTTTCAAACTTTTTCACTTTTTCCCATCTTTCCTTTTCCCCCCGCAAAGGAATCTCAGCACACGCTGCTCAGGTCTGGTCCCCCAGCTGCCGTCCTAGCAGCCTGGCCGGCTCCCTGGACAGGGCCCCTCATGCCCCTCTGTGCGGCCCCTCCAGGACCCAGCACGTTGCTCCCCCATGTTCACTGCACACATTCGCCCCCCGCCTCCCTCCTTTCTGCAGGTCGACTGCCACCCCCGAGGTTTGTCTGCAGGGTCGGTCCAATGGTCCGTCCTTATTTCTTGGACATCACTGTGAACTCGAAGCCAGGACTAGCTGAGAGTGATAAACACCTGCTACAGCGTGTGCCTGCTGCATAGGAACCCAGGAGAAAGGTCAAGCACCACTTTTTTAAAAGGTACAAACTGATACACTGTTTTAAAAAGCCTGTATTATTCTAGGTGGGAAAGTAAATTGGCACAGCCACTATGGAAAACAGCGTGGAGGATCCTCAGAAAATTAAAAATAGAACTACCATATGATCCAGCAACTCTCCTGGGAATATATCCAAAGGCAATGAAAACACTAACTCAGAAAGACACCTGCACCCCCATGTTCACAGCAGCACTGTCTACAACAGCCAAGACATGGAAGCAGCCTCAGTGTCTACTGATGGACATCTATGCATAAATACATATAATGGAATATTACTCCGTCATAAAGAACGAGGAGATCTTACCATTTGCGACAACATGGATGGACCTCGAAGATACCACGCTAAGTCAAGTAAGTCAGAGAAAGACAAATACTGTATGATCTCACTTACATATGGAGACTTAGAAACAAAAACATATCAAACTCTTAGAAAAGGAGATCAGACTTGTGGTTACCAAAAGTGGAGGGTGGAGAAAGGGAGACCTGAAGGAGGTGGTCAAAGGCAGACGTTTCCAGTTATAAGGTAAATCAGAGACGAAATATACAACGTGACGACGGATAGATCGGGGAGGCGCTAAGAGAGTAAAGCCTCAGAGCTCTCATGCCAGGGAGAATTTTTTTCCTTTTGTTTTTTTAAAACCTGTATCTGTATGAGAAGCCAGATGTTAGCTGGACCTACGGTGGTCATCATTCCACAGTATACAGACATCAAACCGTCATGCTGCACGCCTCAAACTTGTACATGTGCGGCAACTGTTTCTCAAATCTGGGGAAAAGAGAGACAGCAAAAAAGATATTGCTTTCTTCTGATTTGTGCTTCCAGATCTTCTGCACCCAGAGATTTCTTCACCCAAGAAGTGAAGAAGCTCAAGAACAAAAATCCTTCTGAACTCTGGTTTTTGGAAATTGTGCCCCATGGCCAAGCCAATATGTGATCTCCATCACCCTTCGGGAAATCACTGTGCCAGCCCGTAAAAGGCCCTGAGCAGTCCTGCAGTAAAGACAGCGGATTAATTGTGGTCAAACCAGTATTTCCCTAAATCATTCCAACATGGAACCCTTTCCCCCACGTGATACGTATTAACATCCTAGGAAACCGAGGTTCCTCGGCACACACTGTGGGAAATGCTGACCTAAAGCATTTTTTTCTTTCCTTTAAGTGGTATAAATCCCTCTGAACTGCAGCTTTCAGATCAGTTTATAGAACAGTAAGAGGTATTTCTGTTAAGGTTACGACACCTATCCTGATTTGTCTCAGACCGTAGCGGGCTACATCAGAAGCAGCCCCATGTTTCTGCGGCCTTCGCTCGTGTCCTTGGTGTGTGTGTGTGTGGTGGGGAGGTGCTGGTGGGGCCTCTTACTTCCCAGCACCCGGAATGGTAACAGCTGACTGCCTCGCCCATCTGGGAGGGGACTGGCTGTCCAACGCCACCCTTGGCCCTGACCTGCCGGAGAGGAGCTGCCAGTGCTCACCATGGGTCCTGTACACTGTGAGCTGGAAACAAGTGCTGTCCACCCACTGATGCCTCCCTTAGGATTACGATAAATCAAAACATGCAGCAAGAACAGGATGCAATTAAGAAAATGCAGGACATACCTTAAGTGCAAAATGTAGTACTCTAGGGTCCTGAGGCTACCTCATTAATGTCAAGCTGATTACAAATTACAGGCATTAGGGAGGGTATAGCTCAGTGGTAGAGCGCGTGCTTAGCATGCACGAGGTCCTGGATTCAATCCCCAGTACCTTCATTAAAATAAATAAATAAACCTAATTACACACCCCTCCCCACCCAAACCAAACCAATCACAGGCATCTCAGTGCAGCTGCTGTGAGGCAGGAAAGCATCACACAGCAGAGTCACGTGACAGGAGCATCTCCCCCCCCATGGTACTTAAAATACATTTTAGAAAAAAATTAACTTTCTCACCTTTGCCGGTTTGAAAAATGAGACAAAATAAAAACGAGTGAATCAATGGCAGATTGCGGGGACAGAGTAAAAAAATTCTTTATCATCTACGCGTGGAAAATAGACTATGCTGGAGAAGTCAGTTCAGATACGTCTGTGAAAAGCTAATGACTATTTGATCCAGCTCAGGCAAGGGTCTGAATCCTGCTTTCTAAGACAGCAACAACGAAACACTCAAGTCTGTCAAATACAGAGAGCTTGGAGGAATCACTTTTACAACCCAGGAAAAATGAAGCGTGAAACAGGAAAGCACACCTTAGCAGGAGCCCCCAAGCACGTCCAGGTTCTTGTCCCAAGACCCCCTCTCCCCAGGCTCCAGAAAAATGCAAAGAGGGACTCACTATGTCGTAAGTTGTCACGATCCTCTTCAGAACCTCGGGCACGATCCCCTGCAACTCCATCGTGGGATACTGCTCGCTGAGATTCAGGACCACCAGGGGCGTGTTGTCGGGTCCCAGGAAGCGGGGAGACACGGCCAGCATGCACTGCATGAGGTTGGCCACGGACGAGAGGCCACACAGCTCCTTGAAGGATACCACTGCATTCTGCTCAGTGGGAAGAGACAAGGCGCGCTGTAATTCACCTGGTGTCTAACTTCTCATGGACATTATTACACTTGACATACACTTGGTTATACTTGGACTGCCTGGTACAACAGTATTAGCAGTGTTACAACAGATGTGGCTAAAAATTATCTTATCTGGGGGGGAAAACATGGCTATTTTCCAAAGCAAACATAGTTACAGACATTTGTCATGACAATTTATCAGAGGTACAGAAAATGCAAATAAGTTAAATTCTTCCCAAGGGCAAAGCCTCTTTTCAGATCAAAGTTCACAGTGGTGCTAAGGCTGTTATGTAATTATGAGCAAACAACCAAAAAAATAAAATCTTCTGCATTCAAAAAGGTGACGATTGAGAAAAAAAAATCAGGTTTAAAATAAATATCAAATATGCCAGCCATCCGAAAGGGAGGGGAGTATTTGGGAGGCAGAAACCTGAGTCTCTCTCACCTGTTTATGCCTGCTGGTTGCACAGCTAAGGGAACTCTGAGGTCTACCCACAGGAGACCTTGGGTACCCACGGTCTTCCCTTCCCCGAGTCCCATCTCCAGGGACCTCACTGCTTCTCCTCCTGCTCCCAATGCTCTTTTCTAATCACCAGAGGTGTGCCATTAAAATACCCATGAACGAAGGCCCTCCCACACTGTAAAATGCCAGGAGTCAGCATCCTCTGAGCGCTGACCAAGGGCCAGCTCCATCTGAGGCGTATGTAATACACATGACCACAGCTAACCCTCCCAACAAGCCAGGCTGTGCTTAAGGAAGCCGAGCCCCAGCTGGGACTTCTCTCTGTGGCCTGTCTAAGGTCACACAGCTGGGAGGCAAGGGGGCCAAGATCCTACCTGAGGTCCGCAGAGGCTGAGGCCTATGCTCTTAATCACTGGGCTACAATAACAGGTAAATTCTAACTGAAATAGGAGTTCTTCGGGCACACCTGGCTCCTGATCTGGGCTAAGCGCGGCAGCTGGGGAGGGTGGGGGTATCTATGCCCCCCTCCAAGCCCTGTGCCCTCTGCTCTCAGATACGCCAGTTCTTGGAGTTAGTACTGCTAACCAGTTTTAAATTTAACCATTTTCTTTTTATTAATATTGCTTTAAATGGGGGTGTCAAACATCAAAATGTGTATCATTTTGTTCCAAATCACTTGGATGTTGACTGCCTAGAACAATAAATTTTAATTGCGATCTAAGGGGGTCCCGAGCCCCTCCATCACTCCTCCCCTTTATTTCTTCCCCACCTTCCCAACTTGTCCTGTTTGTTTATTCTCAGCTCGCCGCCTGCTGCCCCTTCCCTTCCCGCTGCCCATCCCCGACCAGAGTCATCTGTCTCCTCCCGGCTGCATCCCGGCCCCCGCGCCTGTGCCCACAGGCACCCTCGACCACGCCGCGGTTGAGGGGGGGGTCAGTGCAGACACGCGGCCCCAGAGGGTGACGCTCGGCTTCATGTGCACAGTAGCGACTGCAAGGCGGGGCCCGCTCAGCGCTGAGGTCCACCAACCACATCACCTTAAGAAATAGGGACAAGCCTTCCACATTGCTGTGATGCATTTACTCTGAGACAAACAGAAAATGCAATTTCTCTATTACGGGAAGGTCTTTTAATTTTACTTGCTGCTGGCATTCTGCTCATATTCGTTATAAAGATACATATATATATATATATACACACACAAAAAGATGTATCTACCTTTTTGGTTTTTTGTTCTCAAACTGGCCCAGAGTGCTCACACACTGGGACCAGCCAGGGCCAGCGTCTGTGGGAGGCAGGCCCTCCCTGCCTGGTTTTGCATCGCTCGCGGCCCCAGTGTCCTGTTAAGACACGTGGGCGATCCTTAATGACATACATAATCCTCACTGGCCACCTTTAGCCACGATGTGGTTCAGAGGTAATTATCTTCACCATCTAATAAATACAGGTCTCACGTGTCTTTAACTTAAATGATTAGGTAACAGCTCTAAAGTCAAGACAGGCACAAACACACTGGCTGGTGTGAGGGATCGCCAGTCTCCCAGCATCGCAGCCCCACAAGACAGGACTGGAACATGTCCCTTTCATTCCGATGGGCTGTTAGTGTGTGTCCCAGCTGAGGAATATTCAGAAATATCAGACACTCCCATACAGGCGTCTAGAGAAGACAGGGGACTGCTGAGTGGTGGTTAACAGAGACCAGGACCCCTGTGAGACAATGCAACAAGGCTGCCTCCTTCCAACATGCTGTCAGCGTTTTCAATAGCAACTGTGGTTTCAGAAATTTAGACGTTAAAAAAAAAAAAGACCAGTGGTAAACATTCTAATAACTAAGTGGAGTTTACAAAGTATTTAGGATCAAATACACTTGTATTTAAAGAAATCCCCCAACCCACTCATAAACCACATGCACACATGCACCAAGGAGGAACGCAGCCGGGCCCGCGGCTGGGTCCACAGCCGGGCACCTGAGCATACCTGCATGTTCTCCCGCAGGTCCGTGGCATCCCGGATCGGGGGCTGGGCATTCTTGAACACCTCATCCACGGTTTTAATCCACAGCGTTCTCAAGGACGCATAGTCCCTGGACTTCTTCCCTTTCCGCACAGAAAGGCCCCTTTTGTGAGGTTTCCCGCCTCCCCTTCGGTTAGTGATGGCCACGTGGACAAAGAGGGACGCGTGTGCTAGGACCTCCCCGGTCAGCGACTGCAGCGGGACGTGGCGGTAGCCGGTCTGCAAACACTCGAAGGGAATGGTGTACTGACCGATGAACTCGTCCCCGATGTAGTCATCGTCCAGGACCACGAAGCGCACCATGGCCAGTTCTGGCAGGTTGATTTGAAACTCAAAGCTTTCGTCGAACATGGGGGCGTCTCCGTTCTGGTGCACGGTTTTTGTCCTCTGTTCTGCACAGTCAGCAGGGATCCCGTGAATCTCCACGTAGACGTAAGGGTCCACCACGTCCCCTTTGGCGCCGGACCCCTTGGGCTTGGGGAAGTTCTGCCCGCTGATGATCTTGATGTGAAGAAGCTGCGGGGAGACTCCTGGGACAGAGTCTTTGGTATTGGCGCTGAAGAAGGAGACCTCCTCCCTCATGATGGCCGGACGGAGGACATAGCCACAGTTCCCGTTCTGCCGGAACCAGCCGATGTTCAGGTCCATCATGAGTCCCGGGGTCTGAAAGTTCATGGCCACTATCTGACAGCCGCACTTCCAGAAATCCTGAGGGTTCATGTTGCTGGAGTCAATTCTCATGGGACTGGGGAAGACCCTGGCCAGAAAGCGCTTGTTGTAATTGACGAAGTCCCCGGGATTCTCGTTGGCATATTTGCTGGCGAGCACCTCGTTGAAGGAGCAGACCTCCCAGTACTTCTGCACCTGGAACGACACCTGGAACTCTTTGAACTGCACTGACTTGCAGATGCTCACCAGCTCGGACAGCTCTTTGCAGAGCTGGAAGCGCTTCGCGGGCACGTGGTTGGCTTGCTCCACGTTCTCCTTGCCCGCCCTCTGCGACATCTCCGCCCCTTCGTCCTCATCGGTGACGTCTCCCTCCACGCCGGAGCAGCTCGAGGACAGCTTCTTGGCTTTAATCAGGATCTTCCCTTTCAGGACATCTGGGGATGGCAGGTACGACTCCTCAACGTTGGGCGATGTCGTGTAGAGCTTGTCTCCTAAAATCTTCTTCATGTGTTGAACCATCACCTTCTGCTGTCTGATGGAACAGTGGTTTTCCAAGCACAAGATGAGAGGGTATTCTGAAGCGAAGAACGCGTACTTGTTAATGATGTCGATGACGCTGCGGAAGACGATCTGAGAGGTCATGGTGTGGCCTGTGTAGATGACAGGCTCATTATCTGGCCCGTCCCACACATCCAGCTCGACGCTGCGGCAGCCCATCTTAAGAGCGCGGATGTACCCTGTGATGTCAGAGGGACCTCGGAACTGGTCCTCTATCAAGTACGTGTTGTGAGATGAGTTTATAAAGTAATGAGACAAGGGCTGCTTCATATCCTGACAAACCTTCTTGTGCTCCGGGTCAAATATGTAACAGTCAGGTGACATAAGGTAATTAGTGAACCCGTCTATGGAAAGCCAGCCCTTTTCCTGACCCTCTCTGGATGGCTCATACTTGTGAATAATTTCAAGGCTTATTTCCTCGTTGATGTGGGCCACACCCTGCTCTGCCTCAAGAAACATCATAAGGTCCTTGGTGTCAAGGAATTCTTTATTGCTTGAAAACTGGACTAAAAGGAAATAAATTTCAGGTCGGGTACAAAGCTCATGGAAAACCTCAACAAATTCTTCCTGGGTGACTTCAGTACCAGCTTTGTCCTTGGATTTGTGCAATTCTTTGAACTTGAGCTCAATTTTGCTCGTTTTTAAGCCAGGATTGAGGTTTCTGATACACTGCACAGCACTGCACAGGCTTACATGTCCAAGGTTATCTACATCAATTTCACTAAACATCTGCGAAACCCAAGAAGTCCTCATGTTGTCCTGACTACTTTCTAACATATCGAGTGTGTGTTTCCCGTAAGAGATGAGGTACCGCAGGCCTGTGACCCAGATGTTTGCAACATCTGCAGAGTTGGCCACCAGATCGAGTGACTCGTAATTCTCCCCGTAGATGACCGAAAACGCGCAGTCTTCAGATATCTGGTCAGAAATGCCGTTGCTGCGGAATATGTCCGTGTTTTTCCCTGTTCTCACTTCCTTGATGGACTTAATGTCAATCTTGGCTTTCTCAGAGTCCTTCTTGGATGGTTCCCATCTCAGGCTCTGCATGTCAGCGTCCAGGAGAAAATACCGGTGGTAAATTCTGGAGTTGGAGCGAAGCTTTTTGAGCTCTGAGCCCTCCACCATGGAGTTGATGCAGTCACTCGCACTGCTGATCTTCTTCTCCGTGGGCATGCTGCTGAACGAGACGGTCTTTTTCCGCTCTCTCTTTTGTTTTGTACCATCCTAGGAGGAAAAATAATAGTGCATCAGGATAACACAGACGTAGGTTTCTATGCTCAGGACTAGGAAGAAAAATTTAACTTCCCTGGGGAGATAAATCATACTCTTAGAATTTCCTGTTGTATGTCCTGCAATGAATGATACTCACCTCCAAAGCTTACAGGTGGCCCTGGCGTTTACAGCCTAATACAAACAGGTAAAGAACTGCTATGGAATAATTGCAATCCACGAACGTCCAGAAACACATTTCCAGTAATACACAATAAAAGCTAGCGGAGAGAACTGGCCGCACCATTTGCAGGGCTCGGGGGAAAGTAAAATGCAGACTCCTTGTTCAAAAATTATTATGAATTTCAAGAAGTTCACGGAAGAGCAGTGAGCCAAGCGCAGGGTTGCTCTGCGTGTCGAGACTGTGCAGGTGCACAAGTCACACATCCGCTAAGCAGGTCCTGCTGTGTGTGCACCTCCTGTACCAGTACTTCTCAAAGGGTTGTCACTAGGCCACTTTCCTCAGAATCACCTGGATTACCTGGTTAAAATGCAGATCCCCAGCCTCATGGTCTCAGCTCTCTAGGGGGTGGTGGCCAGGAATTTACAGCTTAGGGAACACTCCAGGGATGGGAATGTCCAATCAAGTTGAAAGCCACTTCCTAACCAACTGGACTCATGAAGATGTCTGGGCTATTTCTGGAAACCAAGTGTGAACCGTTACATTGTGTGTCAAATGAGTAGATGTTGGAATTCCAGCAAAAGTCCCCGGCTCTTTGGAATCTCAGATTAGATTCGTCATGGTCCTGAATACTTCAGATTTTTACTTGGATTAAGTCTGGGTGGGAGGCCCAGATTTCAGCTGGAGGAGCTGCTAAAGTGCTGGACATGGGTTTATGGAAGCCTGCTACCGTGCACCAGGCTGCCATCTAGACAATGGCGCCTAAGTTCTTCCGATGTTCACAGGTTATTAACACCACCAAGTGAGAAAGTCAGGCAGCATCTATTTGTAAAGCAGTCTGCATCACCAATCCGGACGCCTCAGCTCTCCTGCACGATGTCATTGGTGCTGATTCCACGTCTATGTATGTATTTAAGTTCTTTCCCTGGACAGATACTTTTATTTTTTTTTTTAAAAAATTGGTCAAATGGTCTTACAACACCTTTCACAATTTCAACCTAAAACGTGATTGCCTTTCAGGAGGTACTTGAAATGTGTGATAATTTTTCAGTAAGTCATTATATTCATAAATAAGAAACAGATGGAGGCTGGGGTTCTATACCTTTCATGGCCATAAAGAAAGCAACGTGCAAAATATTATTATACAAAGGCATTCATTCTACCTTTCCTGTGCTGGAGAGAAATCTGTTTTGAATAAAACCTTCACATTTTAAAAAGTGCTTATGCCATTCTCTAAGTCTGAAATTTAAAGCCACTTTTACGTTTTGACTACCCATACTTCCAGAAGCAATCTGCAGAAGGTAATTAGACCTAAAACGTTAAATTATACGGGGATCATTTCCCTCAAAGTTTCAAAATGAACCATAGAGGCTTCTGTGATCCAATTGCCAAGATAAAACACTGGATCCTCAGAATAATAAACTGCAAGAGCCATGAGAGCTGCGATAACTGTGTCCTTAAGATACACCGTGTTATAGCTGTTCCCGTCCCGAAAGCTGAAACTGTATTCTCTCTATTCAAGCAAGTCAGCATGAAATTAAATTTGTAATCAGCCACTCAGAAGGGCGTGAAACAAATGTATGAATTCCCTGTATTTCAGAATGAGGGCTGTCTTTACCTTTAAAAACAGACATTTACCTTTAACAGACAAAAATACTAATTAAGTCCGGGAATTTTGCAATTGTTATAAATTACATCTCAAAGCTGCCACTAGTAAAAAGCAATCACAAAGATAAATGTTGGTGCCTATCCATTTATTCATTAAAATAGACATAAAGCACTTTCTCAACACTGTAATCTTTTATTCTGTCATTTTCAACGTATTGGTTAATATTTAACTACCACTTTCTAATTTATTGTAAGTGATACATTTTTAATTCTTAGGTCTCCTTTTTTTCCTTAAGGCCCAGTATTTTGTCCTTTTTGGGGGAGGCTAATTAGGTTTATTTATTTACTTCATTATTATTATTATTATTATTATAATGGAGGTTCTGAGGATTGAACCCAGGACCTCGTGCATGCTAAGCACACACTCTACCACTGAGCTATACCCTCCCTGCTATGTCTCCTTTTTATTAAGAGGAAAAAGCCAAACTGCACAGCAGGTGAGTAACATGCACATGTGCTCATACACCCACATCTGTGGGACAAGCAGCAATGTCAACAGCATATCTGTGCCTTGCTTTTCACAAGCCAGGCCAGGCTTCGCTCGGTGACTTCAGATCACTGACTCCGACACATGAAGGAGATGATGGTCACCCAAGCCCCGGCTGATGTACTGACAGTGGGGACTCCCCTGGCCAGAGACGGCCTCTCCTCCCTCCCCCTCAATCTGCTCTCGCCTGGAACTGCCCCATCCTCTCCCCGGCTTAGAGACCAACAGGATGACAGACCTGAGCTTGCGCTCATCACTGGATGGACCAGGATCACCAGCTGGAAGCCACAGGTGGCTGTGAAGGTGGACTGTTCCCCCAGAGCCCAGAGGACAGGGCGAGGAGGACAGAGCGCTGTGTGGGAGGGAGCAGAACTGAGCTTCATCAGTAGGAGATCCTGGCCACCAACCGGCCCGCCTTGACCCCAGAATCGTCACCGCACACCTACGTATCTGCACCCGCCCTCACTTTCCAGCCTGGCAGCAAAGGAATGGGGCATCAGCCAAACACTGAGCTCGTTCAGCAGCAGCAGGGCTGGGACCTGCTTTCTTTTCTTTTTTTAAGGTTTATTTTATTTCAATGACGCTGCTAGGGATTGACTCCAAGACCTCGTGCATGTTAGGTACGCACTCTACCACTGAGCTCTACCCTCACCCCCTATTTGCTATGTTCCTCTTAGTGTGAGTTTGTTAAAATGTAAAATTAAAAAGTGATTGAACTGTATGTGCCACACATACAGGTTTTTAACTAAACGAGAACTAAATGCATGTAACTTACAGGCGCTCATCACCTGAAACCTGGGGGGAAAAACACACGTTTCTGATGAGATGGAGATACCTCCGAATACTTTTTTTAAAAAAGTACAGATGACGTTTCAGAACTGGGTCTTAATATTGTAAGTACCCGTTGCCCAAAGCTTGTGAGTGGACAAAACTACACGTCAACTCCGACCCGGGGGCATTTCTGCTGCTTGATCAGCACTTGCTAACACACCCCGAGAGAAGGGACCCAAAGCTGACGCCCAGCCTGGAAGAAGTCCAGCCTCCAGAAGAACACACCTCCCTGTCAACCCTGCGATTCTGAAATCCACATAAGGAATCATGAAGCTTTGAACTGAAGAGAAGCCTAAAGATTTGTTTACACATGTAAATGACACTCATTTACAGAACAACACGTTTGTACCAAGGATAATTTTACGGAAGAGATGAACTAGGAGGCTACCCAAGCTTTTCTGCACCACAGCAAACTCAGGGAGAATCAGAACGGTTATAGAATGTACATGTAACATTAAAAAATAGAAATAGCCACGTGGAGCCCAATGGAAAAACATGCCTATTTGTAATAAGACTGCCTACTTTATTAAACAGCAGTCTGCCCCTGCCTTTTGGCCTCTAAAATTCCCATCTGGGCTATTTCAGAGGTGGCAGTTTCATAAATGGGTGTAGGCAATTTCAGAAATTCTCATCCTGAAATGAGGTGACAAACAGGTGGGCTTCACTTCTTTGCTGGTCACAAGGTACTTGGCTCTGATCCAACTGCTTCAGTGCCTCCTGGAGCAGGAGAACCCACCCGCGGAGTCTGAGTCTCGTCTCATGTCCTGTTGGGAGAGAATCGTCTCCCCAGCCCTACGGCATTCCTCTTGTATTTCTTTCTTTTTTTTTTTTAATTAAAAAAATGTTATTTTGGGCAGGGGGAGGTAATTAGGTTTGTTCACGTATGTTTAGAGGGAGTACAGGGGATCGAATCCAGGACCTCGTGCACACTAAGCCTCTGCTCTTCCCCTCGAGCTGCGTCCTCCCCCTCTTCTGTCTTTTTTTAATTTGAAGTATAGTCCATTTACAATGTTGTGTTAGTCTCTGGTGTACAGCATAGCGATCCAGTTATACATGTGTATATATATAAAATATTCTTTTTCATTATAGGTTATTTCAAGGTGTTGAATATAGTTCCCTGTGCTGTACAGTAGGACCTTGTTGTTCATCTATTTTATATATAGTAGTTTGTATCTGCTAATCCCAAACTCCCAATTTATCCCTCCACTTCCCCTCCCCCACCAGTAACCGTAAGTTTGTTTTCTATGTCTGTGAGTCTGTTTCTGTTTTGTAAATAAGTTCATTTGTTTAATTTTTTTAGATTCCACATGTAAGTGATGTCATGTGATATTTGTCTTTCTCTGTCTGACTTCACTTCACTTAGTATGATCATCTCCGGTTCACCCATATTACAGTAAATGGCAGTATTTTGTTCTTTTTTAATGACCTCTTATATTTCTAAACTGATTTGTTTCCATTTTCTGTTTGACTCTTTCTCAAGAAACACCACGAGAAAATGATGAATCAATATCTAGCTTCACACCCCGGCACAGACGGTGCCCGAGTCTCGCCATGATGCTATATGGGGGTGGGGACAAAACAGGACCAGGACGCAGCGCGAGGACAAAGCAGCCGTTTATCCTTCTGGTTCGTTTTGAGTCAAGGCATTGAATCTGATTTATAAGTAACATTAAAGAATTGGAGACCTTTATGTTTATTGAAGGGAGTCTAGGATTAAAGACAGTTTAGAAACGCTGGGTTAGAGAAAATTCTGTCCTTAACAAAGCAAAGCAAAACCCCCAGAAACAACTCGAGGCCCATCCCACAAGCACAGCAAGGCCTGACCTTTCTCTGGCTCGGTAACAACAG